TCTTGCAAATTAAGCAACGTTGAACTGGGTCCGTGTTTAAAAAGGAGGGCCCTAGATACTAATTAAAGTGATAGTGATAGAGATGCAGCCGTGTTAGTCTGGTCTATCTGAAACAAAAGACAGGACTATGCAGCACTTTAAAGACTATCAAGATGGTTTATTAGGTGATGAGCTTGATCTGAGGAAGTGGGTCTGGCCCACGAAAGCTCATCACCTGATAAACCATCTTGTTAGTCTTTAAAGTGCTGCGTAGTCCTGTCTTTTGTTTTAATTAAAGTGATGTTTGTGATTCTGTATTTATGATCCCCTTCTGAATCAGGATTGACTATTGTGCCTGTCCAGCACATGGAGGTATTGCACTGTTTACGATGTCTTTTCAGTGAGACTAATATGAAGGTCATTTAAGCTTTCTCTGAGAATGACTGTTACACCTGTCTGAATCAATCGCAGCTCATATAATTGCACTCTGCTACCTATATTTCTTTCCCCGGTATTTCTATACAGCATTCTCCTCCCTTTCCTGACCTGAATTGTCATGAAGTACAGCTCTATGCTTTTAAGCAACTGCTATTTTTACCCATGAAGTGATTGGACTTCAGTGAGGATTGACTATAGAAAGGTGATGTGGTAATGAAAGTGCCCCGTACATTGATGATTGATATAGTTTTTAATTCATAATTAGGGCCTTCCCAATTTAGCTATATTGTAAGTATTCACTGAGGCTGGCTGAGCCTTCAGGATTAAAATACGAAACCACATTAAACGTGTCTGGGAACTTCATTCCTTCGACACAACCTCCCTACTCCCAACAAGAGCCCCAGGATACCTCTGCTTTCAAGTATTGGGGTGAGCTGTGACTTCTACTTTGGGATGGCCACAAATTTGTCCCTTCCCCTTGTGAGATGATCAGCAAGTGTTTGGCTGGCCTTTTCCCCAGAACTCATTCCAACATCACCTACGCTAGACTGAATGTCCATCTTTTACTATCTGTAGGGACCGTTCCTGGTGCAATGAGGACCTGATCTCAGCTGGGGGGCTGTAGACACTACTGCTATTAATATTAGCAGCAAGCCTGCCTACCCTTCCCATCTCCATTCAATTGCAGGAATAGGGATTATGGTTCCACCCCGGTGTTGTTTCCTCAGATATCCAGAGTACATCATACTAAACAAATTCCATCATAAACTGGGATTGTGTATATTCCTTGGGCCTGGGCCTATCTTTATTTGCATCTTGTACCATGCAACGCAGATTACCCATACTTCACAGCTAATTAGCAACAATTATAGTACGGGGCATTGTGAGACATTTCAGTGCTAACATGCAGCAAGTGGGTAGTTAAGAGGCAGCAGTGAGATCAGAGAGCATTCCCCAGTCCTACTGTTCCTGAATGGGACTCAAAGAGGCCATCTGAAGACCAGGTCTAGCTTTCCAGTGCCCCTGAAGTCTACTTAGGAAAGGAATGGCCTAGCTTGTCAGCTTTGGTGATCCCAAGAAGGGAGAGAATGTCAATTGACATTAGCTGGTTGGAACCACTTCTGGGCTTATCCCAGAAAGCACCTAATATAAAGGCTAGTCACAGGGCTTATTGTAAGAAGTGTTCTATGGTGTTTTGGGGAACAGAACCAGGTAAACCCTCTGGTTTCTTAGAGCCTTGGGTATAGAGATGTACCTGCTCAAGTTTCACCAGGAGTTTTCAAGCACTTTTAAGGAATAAACCTGAAACTCCAAGCAAACCTCAAGATTTGTAGGTGGACCTTGCTAAACAAGATGGCAATTTTTTTTTTTTTTTTTTTTTGCCAAAACTATCCAGTTCCAACTCACAGGTTGTGCACAGAGCATTGTATAAGTTAGGAGGAAAATATGACTGATGATGATACCAGCAATCTGTAAGTTGAATTCTTTGCCTGAATCCAGAGGGATGATTTATTTTTAAAAATAACAATTAAACAATTATAATGAAAAGTAATAAACTTTTCTACAAATATAATTTGATCAAGTCCAGATCAGTGCAATAGGGGGCAAATCCAGAACAAATCCCATGGCTAAATTAGCTGTTGCCACTCAAAAAAGAGATCTTGGAGTCTTAATGGAGAATTCTCTGAAACGTCTGCTCAATGGGGAGCAGCAGTTAAACAAAATGTTAGGAAGCATTAGGAAAGAGACAGATAATAAATGAGAAAATATCATAATACCAGGTATTATCTGTCTCTTTCCTAATGGTACCCATGGTACTCTCACACTTTGAATACTGGATGCAGTTCTGGTCATCCTTAGACAGCTAAGAAAAGATATGATAGAGGTTTACAAAAAGATATGATGTAGAGATAGTCAATAAGGAAGAGTTACTTAGTCCTTGACATAATAAAAAAACTAGGAGTCACTCAATTACATTAATAGCTTACCAGTTTATAACTAACATAAGGAAGTTATTCTTCACATAACACTTAGTCCATCTGTGGAACTCATTGCCAGAGGATGATGTGAGTTAAAAAAGGAATTTGATATGTCCCTCAAAGGCTATTTGCCAAGATAGTCAGAGATGCAACCACATGATCTTGGTGTCCCTAAACTTCCAAATACCATAAGCATTTGGCCACTGGCAGAGATAGGATAATGGGCTAAATGGACCATTAAAGTGACTCAGGGCTTGTCTTCACTATGCAGCAGTGTGGATTAAGCAGGTCTAGTGAAGATACTGTAAATTGATGGAAGAGTGCTCTCCTGTCAACATAATTAATCCACCTCAATGAGAGGTGAATATTGGGTTGACAGGTGAGCATCTCCCACTGGCATAGCCGTGTGAAGTCAATGTAAGTTATGTTGCTCGAGGTAGTTTTTTCATACCCGTGAGTGACATAACTTAGCAGTCGTGCAGAAAAACCTCATATGGCCACTCTTAGGTTCTAATGTGAGGATCCATTTGCACTGATGTGATTGATGAAGCTAGTTGCAAACCAGACAACACTAGATGGGATTCCTGCAAGAAAGCCCATATTTAGGGTATAGGAATCCATCACTGTGTGAATCCGCCAATCCTTTCCTCTGGAGGTGCTACATAAGGGTCCCCTGAGGTTATTCCAGGCATTTGGGCATTCTGTTCTACCCACTGGGCTGGATAAGCCATCACAGAGCAATTCTACTGTTGCTTCAAGCCTTGGGAGATATATTCTACTTCTGCTCCCTTCCAACCCCAACCCGTGCATTACCCAGAATCCAGCCTGCCCACTTCCAAATACTGGAATCTGGACTTGAGCCTAAGTGAAAGTTATAGTGGTGATGTTCTAGCCACCATTTGTGCATGCAGAGTAACCGCTACAGAGTTCAGCATGACTGGCAGCTCTGCTCAAGAGAAATAAATCTGCTCATAACTGAGTTTTAAGGGGTGTTGAGAGTCAGGTTAGGGTTCATTGGAAGAGCTGAGGGGAAGCTCATACTTCAGTAACCTGTGCTATCTCAGTACCAAGACTAATGGCCTAATCTTGGCATCCTTGTTCAGGCACAACATGCACTGAAATCAAATCCATTCACAGCTTTATAAGAAAATCATGGAGTTAAAAATTGTAATAATTAGGATGTGCTCACCGGCTTGGCTCAGCCCTGTGCTCTCAAAAGATACCAGCTTTTACATTCACTGGTACAATGACAGATGCTTGAAAACATT